TTTACTGCATGATATTTGGTGGGTGATACGTCTGCAGTGGCCACGTGGCCCATGGGTTTTGGAAACTCTGGACTGGACTTGCTAAGACTCTGAAGGGGAGGCTTTCTGAGACACTGAGTAGCAGCACTATTTATTGGATTAATTACTGGAGAATGAGGAAGTTACCTGCACATTGATAAGGGTGATGGAAATGCATCTTCTGCATGAACAAACCACAGAACGACCAGAAGTCGGCAGCTCTGGAGGAAGCCAAGAGCTGGGTATAAAAACGGGTGGGTGTGTGATTTTGGGCTGGGGATGTGGCTCAAGTGGTAGCACGCTTGCCTGGCATTCGCGCGACTCTGGGTTCAATCCTCAGCACCGCATACAAATAAAATAAAGATGTTGTGTCTGCCGAAAACTAAAAAATAAATATTAAAAAATTCTCTCTCTCTCTCTCTCAAAAAAGAAGAATTCACTTTAAAAAACAATGGGTGGGTGTATGATTTCAAATGAATAGAAATGAGAAGTTTAGATCCTGAACATAACTTCTGCACTCAGTGTGTTTTCCAAGTGGATTCACACTGTACCCTTTTCCTGATGAGGTTGACCTAGACACGTTTGAATGTGTGACATTTCCAGGAACATGCTGGTGCCCAGGACGAGGCCACCAGGGAGCAGGACTTCAATACTACAGCACTGGACGATAACGTGCTCAGGATTTAGGCTGTGATTGCACCAGTCGGAATGCAGGCGTCAGACGTGGTCATTCTCTGCGCAAGAAGAAAGGGCTAGGGTCACGGTCAGTGTGCATGACTACAGCAAAAGGCCACACACAACGGCTCGAGGACAGACAGACTCTTCCCACAGTTCTGGAGCCTCTGATCAAGGGCCGATGGTCTTCCTGGCTTGTAGATGCCCCTTCCTGGTGCATGTGGGAGGAGAGGGATGGGGATGGAGATCTCACATCCTCATAGGACACTACCCGCCTCAGGAGTGCCACCCTGGGGACTTCACTGTGGCCAAAAGCTCCACTTGAGGAATTAGGACTCCAACATATGATTTTATGTCACACACACACACACACTTCAGTCCACAGCAGCTAGAAAACAATGTCTTGTTTGTGAAAGGGAAGGTGTTTCTAGGATTTCTGCTCTGAGTCAGAAAAGGGAAGGCCAGCCTGCCCGCCCTCCTTCGTTCCTTCTGCATAAGGTTGAATCTCCAACATCGTCCACTTAAAATGATCTTGAAGTCAAAGTGACACATCGGATCCCCTTCAACAGAAAGGAACAGCACCCTGCCCTTTCCCCCATGTATCTGCATTTGTGTCTTTCTTTAATATGTGCGTTCTACCCCTTGGGGCCTACTCTGTGCACACAGCCTGAATTCTGCATCCCCTGGGAATATTAAACTACAGTAGGAGAGACAAGATCAGATAGTCACAAAAACTCTTCTGTAGGCAGACGGTTCAACTGTGTAGAGCATCAGGATTTTGGAAGATGGTCTTCTTTAGGAATGTCACAGTGCTCTGAAAAGGCAAGTGGTTTTGTGTACCTCTGAGGAGCCAGGTGGGATGGAGGCCCAGGTCTGTCCTAGTCCCTGAGGGCTGGTGAGGTTGCAGGCCGAGGTGGACTTGGTTCTCAGGCAAATGCTCCAGGGACACTGTGCCCCATTCCTAAGGGCTGTCATGTGCCACCTCCTGTCACTCTAGATTTTATTTTCCCCCAATCCAGCTGCTCTGTGTTGGATTCGAGGTGCCTGCAGGAGCAGGAACCGGTTTCACCAGCGCCTGGGCTTATGTGAGGCCGGGAGGAGCAAGGTGGTGGCCAGCCAAGGTCCTCGGAGTCTGGGAGGAAGGGGGCTGACAGCCTCGGGCTGGTGGAAAAGTACCAGGACCCAGGCTTTGGCCTGGGAGGCTGGGAGGGCTGGGCGGAGGGGAGCTGGAGAGGCCGGAGGCCTCTGGATCCTAGGCCCGGCGGTGCCTGCGAGCAGTTGTCTAATGATTAATGCAGAAGGTGGGGCGCTCACCTGTGGGCGTGTGGCCCCGCCTGTGACATGACGGGGTCATTTCAGGAGGAACTTCCTGTTAGCTGGTCAGGAGAAATCGGAGTTCTGTGTCGGCCAGAGGATCAGCTCCCGCGCCCTGTGGAGAGGCCAGCAGCCTGGGGCCTCTGGGAAAGGAACCTTCCTGGCAGCCCGAGGGGGAGGCCTCCTGGCCGAGGTAGGACACTGCGGCTGGCGCTGCAGTTGACCCAGGTCTGCCGGGGGTCTCTCCTGGGTCTCCCATCAGAGCCTGGACGTTCACCCCCACCTGATGTTTGCTTTCCAGCCTCCACGGAGTTAAAAATTAAAGGAGAGGCCTGTTCGGAGGAGTCGGGGATTCCCTCAGTACTCGGTGAGTGTCCCTGTCACTCTTGGGAGTGTGGAGGGCCACTCTGCCGGCACTTGGGGAGGTCTCGGGACTTGAGTGCTGGGAGGTCCCAGGGCAGCGGCTCCTTGGGCACTTGAGAGGCCATTGCTCCCCAGCGAGAAGGCCCACGTTTTGATGTCTTGACTTTCTAAGAAGTTGGGCCCCGGCTTAGGGGCCGGCAGAGCTGCAGTCCGCAGGGTCCAGGGAGAGGCGGTCCCTGTCGCGGGGGCGGTTGAGTGCGCACTCCTCCCTGCCAGGCCCCACTGGGTTCTGTTGGGGTCGGGCTTCTGGAGCTGCCTAGACCAGGACGTTCGCAGGTGCTTTGGGAAGTTACGACATCCAACTCCTCCCAATCCCTAGCGGGAAAGGCCGGCTCAGGGAGCTCAGACCCAGCGCTGTTCTTCCCGAGAAGGCAGCTTGGCGGTCGGTGCCTGCCAGAGTTTTCCCAGGGCTCCTCCGGCCAGTAAGGCAGGGGCAGGGGTTACGTCCTGCCCAAACGGCCCGTCAACACAAGACTGAAGAAGGCTTCGCAGTTTTCCAACTACAGGCGCATCATTCGGATCCTTCCATAGTGGAATGAATGAGAAGCCACGTCTCAGGGCTGCTCAAACTCCCCCAAGCAACTTGTCTGATTTAGGTTGCACTTGAAACCCGCTGTGTAGTCCTGCCCCAACTGAACCCAGCCTTTGAGCCCTGTGTGTCCTCACAAGCCCCTGACTGTAGTGACCGCACTGGTCCTGCTCTTGGACTCCCACCGTCCGCTGCGCTGCCCACCCCAGACCTTGCTGGAGCATGAGACAGCCATTTTCCGGGGTGGAGAGCAAGAGAGGGGGACAGCATCTCCCAGGGGACCTTAACCCGTTGCTGTGGTTTCCCTAACTCTGGGCCACCTCCACAGTGACTGCTTTTGATAAAAATGCATCACTTCCGTACCTGGCAGGGTTGATTTCTCCTCATTCTGTGCGGGCCTTGCATTCCAGGTGACTGTGAAGCCATCAGCTGTCCAGTTGCGCTAATTGATCCTTGACAACTGGTAAATGATTGATGGGGCGCTGCGTGGCTGAGGTGTTGGAGTGATCTCAGAGGCAGGCTCTGATTTCATTCTGGTTTGTGCCTGGCCGAGGCGAAATTTGGTGCTAAGACATTTGCTGGGTCTGTTTTGAGGCCAGCGCAGGGGGCCGGCTCCTGCCGGGGAAGCATGCCGTGAGATGTTTGAACCTTAAATTAAGGGTAGGAGTAGTTGCAGTTTTCTTTCCGAAGAGAGCAGAGAAATATAAGGCCGAGACCCCATTCCTTCTCGGGAGCTCTGAGTACCTGTAATGAGATGAAATGTTCACTGAGTCCCGGGCTGGAGCCGCTTGGCTGCCAGGAACACGGACCCTGGGCAAAGCATAGTCGTCGCAGCCCAGGCGGGCCTGCTTGGGGTCTTGTATTCCTGCCTCTGGGTCGGCTGTGGGGTCTGCCTTCTTAGGCCATCCCTGGCCTGCTGTGCCCACACACTACAAGGTCCCACCACAGGGTCTCTGGTGGGACCTGGCACCTCACGTTTTGGAGGGACAGGCTGTGGAGTCTCGTGGGTGCTAAAGCTGAAGTGAGAACCACCTGCCTCTCTCTCTCGCACACCTGTGAGGGTGGGGAGGAGGGCTGGGAACACCCTAGCCCCAGGCACAGGGTCTGGCTCCTGCAGGGTGTGTTCCTGCCCAGGTGAGCTAGCCTTCAGCTGCCCCGAGGGACCCACAGTTCTGGCAGGTGCCTGGAGAAGGAAAGAGCAAAGGTAAAGAAGCAGGTGGGGAGTGAACAAGGAGGCCATCAAGGGGAAGGAGGACTTGGAGGAAGGGTCGAGGGGTGTACATGTGGGGCCTGGAGTGCGGCTTAGTCGACCCTGACCTTCTGGACCCTGACGGCACCCCTCACTCAGCCACAGAGCTCTAGGCTCTCTCTCAGCATGCCTGGCCCGGCCCACCCCAGGGCCTTTGTACCTGCTGTTCCCCTGCCAGGGGAGCTGCTCCTGCAGAAGTACACACAGAGGTTGCCTTGCTCACTCTCCTCTTGGGAGCCTGTGCAGCTGGCGAAGATGATAGCTAGACCCCGCCCCACGCACACCCCTGCCCATCCTATTTTCTCCTCACCTCTTGCACCTTCAGGAGAGGACATGATCGATTGATCTGTTTTGTCTTCTCTTCCTTTGTGAGAGTGTAAGCTCCTGGTGGGCAGGACTCTTTTCTCAGTGGCTGACAGGGAGGAAAGGAAGCCACGCAGTACCTCTCAGTGGGCTGTGCAGGGCTTGGGCTGCACCATCTGCACCCCATCATTGATGGGAGGGCTGGGATAGGGTTGCTCTATTCATCCAGTGACTCTCAAACCTGAGCTGTGTCAGAGCCCCGGGGGCTTGTGTGGATGCAGGTGGCTGGGGGCACCCCTGAACAGCTGGTCCAGCGGGGTGGGTGGACCCGAGAATGTGCCTTCCTGTCAAGTCCCCTGTGAGCCTTCTGTTTCCGCGGGGACGCCAGGAGCTGCTAGGGCTCAGGCCGTCTCTGGGTGGCAGGTGCCTCTTGGCGTGGGGTGTCACCCACTTGCCTTTCTATTCCAGGGTGAGGAAGAACATGCGGAGATGGAGGGCAGCTGGAAAGAGGTGCTGGCCGTGCTGGTGGTCCTGGCTGGGCTCGCAGGTAGGGGTCACAGGGCTGTGGACTGGTCACTGTCTGCTGCAGGCAGGGTGGCGGGCACACAGCTGCCCGAGGGCACCTCCCAGTGCACGGCTGCCTCTGGGCCTCCCTCTCGGTGGGATGCTGTTCCTGCTTGGAACTGACAGCACGGCCCACGTCGGGGCTGTGGCTGAGACTTGGGGGACCTCATCAGGGACCTTCCCGAAGCAACGGCACTGCTGAGATGTCTCTCTCACCCCCGTCAGTGTCCACCTGGCTTTCAAGGAAGGGGGCACAGGTGTCACCGCCTCGGGGAGCCTGTGGTTTCCAGGGTGGGCACCCCGGCTGCCACGCATCCCCAGGTGAGGTCCATCGTGTGACAGTGCCCCCTGGATGTGGCTGCTCCGGGACATGGTGGACACGCCCAGGTGGAGCGGACTTGGGGTTGAGGCCCAGCCTCCGTCTTGCTCACTTGAGTCTGCACACCCCGCTTTGGTTTAGCTGGTCTTGTCTGGCTCCGCGGCTCCCGGAGGGCTTCAGCTTGTCTCCCTGACTGGTCAGATGTCCCTCGGCATCCCTACTGCAGGGACTCGCAGGCGTCACGCAGAAGGACAGTGCGTGTCCAGGAGCGCACTGTGTCGTCCAGGTGCAGAGCGAGGGCTTTCAGGGCTCGCGCCTCTGTGCCGTCCGTGCTGGGAATGCGGCCTCCCCTGGGCAGCCCCCTCTCTGGCCTCCCTTTGCTCCTCCCCAAAGTGGCCACTGTTCTGACCTGTCACTGCACGGACAGTTGTGGCTGTTTTTTAGGTCCCTGTGTTCCCTATTTTGGATGCTAGACACAGCATTTAAAAAATCTGGTCATGTCAGCATCAAAAAAAAAAAAGGGGGGGGGGAATAAAACAGAACAGGAAACATCGGGTGTGTTCCACGCAGCAGGGGCACTGCGAGAGGCTTGATTGGGGGATGATTTGCATGTGAAGTCTAGGGGCTCCAGACTGTGGTGGGGAACGCACTCGGGGCACAGGGACCGGGAGACCCTGTCCTATGGCGTGAGGGTGAGTTGGTCGGAAGGTGCTTGCTAGACATTTGTCTGCAGAGTGGAGGGGGGAAGAAAGCCCCCGGCGGGCTGAGCCCAGGGCTGGCCAGCCACCTCAGGACTCATTGCAGTGACACGGCACTGTATGGGCCTCTTCTAGCCATGGCCGCAAAACTCTTTCAAAGGTTTGTCAGGCAGTGATGAACTCTGGTTTGGATTTTCTTAGAGATGTTTTTTCCTGGTGTTGCTGTCATGTGCACTGGGTTGAGGCCGGGGAATCTGGTTGATGTCTTATCTAGGAGCCGAATATCGTGGGCTAATTCTAGATCCCTGGGGAGGGGGGCCCATCCTCAAACTGGTGATGAATACAAATTTGGAAATGTGTTGCCGACACTTCACTTGGGCAGGCTTGGGGTACAGTCCTCTTCACTTGCAGACACCTCTGAACCCCTGGGGGCAGCGACTGGGGACACCCAATCCTCCCTCTCCACCTTGCCTGTGGTAGCTCTCCTGATACGGAACCCGACCACTTGATTCATTCACTAGTAACTATGCGCAGAACTTTTGTTGTGTGCCACTTCTTTGAGGCACTGGGAGCAGGGCCGAGTACAGCCAGGCATAATCCTTGTTAATACAGAGCTTAGAGTCTAGTAGGGGAACAGTATTTGAGGTCCTGTGATAGGATCATTTAGCCTAAATTGGGTATTCTGAAGGTTTCCCTGAGGAGGTGACATCTGGGCGTGGAACTGAGGAGCAAGTGAGACTGGTGTTCCAGGGTGGTCAGCGCATGTGTGAAGGTCCTGGGGCTGGAAAGAATTGATGAGTCTGATAAACTGAAGGTCCAGTGGCCCGAGGTGGAGTTGGGGCGAACTGAAGCTGCTGTGGGACTGTGAGTTCAGTCTTAAGCCTTAGTTGGTCTGTCCTAAGAGGAGAGAATCACTGACACCAAGTCTGGGGTGTGGAGTGGGAGGTGGGGCAGGGTTGCCCGATCAGATGCATGACTGCGGCATGGACAGCAGCTTTGGGGGGACTGGTGGTCTATGGGTGATCCCGACTCTTCCTGGGGACTATCCCAGGGACTGAGCTGGGAGCTCACCTGCCCCGGGCCCTCCTTCACGTCTCTTCTTGTTCTGGCTCCTTTCTCGCCTTCCAGAGCTGCGTCCCAAAGCAGCGCTCTCTCTGCCCGCCCCTGTCTGTCCCCTGCTCCTCCTGGGGGGAGCCCCACCTCCAGCCCTGCTTTCCCATCCATCCCATGTTTTAGGTAGGAGAAGAGGGGACGAAGGGGCTGCAGGTGTGGCCAGGAGCCAGAGAAGAGGAGCCTGGGAAGATGGAGGGCGGTCCACAAGGCTCCCACAACCTGAGCCAGGGAGGTGGCTGAGGGCCCCTCCAGGGAGCAGAGGAAAGGCCTCCCTCCGCAGGAGTGATGCGGAGTTGAGGGTCCCTTTGTGGAGGACAAGCGGGAGCCACAGAGGCTGCGAGCCTGCTGCCCCTGAGTGTTTCACCTGGAGGGTGCCAGGCCGGGGTGGGAGGGCGGGGAATCAGGTCACTCATGGGTGGCAGCTGGCTCTTTTCCTCAGAGCAGGAGAGCAGCAAAGGGGCCGGGGCTGGGAGCTGGGAATTGAAGAGCCCAGGGGAGAAGCTTCCAGGAGGATCAGCGGCTGCGGACGGAGCCAGGACCTGGCGTGGCTAACAGCTGCAGCTGGGCCCTCGGGCAGGCGCCCTGATCTTTCCCAGTTTCTCTTTGCTCTTAGGGGAGAGGGCCAGCCAAGGGAAGAGGAAGGTTCTGAGCAGAGGTTCTGTTGGTTAAAGGTCTTATTTACAGTTTGCTCCTACTCATCTCGGTGGGGCAGGCTTGCACACTCAGCCGCAGATAAGATACGAGGCCTTGACCAGAAAAACAGCTTCTGACTCAGGTCTGGCCCGGGGCGGTGGCTTAGGGTTCCAGCAGGACCGCGGGATTGTCAGGGGAATTTGGTGCTTAGCATTTGGTTCCTCCTGTTTGTGATTTAAAGGCCCATCAAACCCAAGGGGTTTCCATCCCACACAGGCCCCCTCCCCCCTTCCCCTTCCCCCTTCCCCCCTCCCATCTCCCCAGCTGCACCGGAAGCCTCACCCCTGGGTGCTGGGTTCTTAATCGTGGTGCAGGCTGACTTTGGAGTGAAATGATGTGCCCGCCCCATGCCCAGGGCTGGGAGGAGGTCTGGGTTCAGATGGGCTGGCTTGGAATTGCCTGCTGGGCTCCCCGGGGGGCGGGCAGGCTCAGTTCCCTAGCCCCACTGGGCACGTCCATCCCTCGTCTACCTGGCCAGGTGAGTCAGGATGCCTATCATCAGAGTGTGGAGCTGGGGCTCAGCTTGCTTCTTCCCTTGGGGGTAAGTCTGCCTGTCCTTGAAGTGTGGTTCAGCGCTCAGGGGAGCAGTGGGCTCCCGCCGTGGCTTCCCTGGCACTCATGTCTGATTCCCCCTCTTGTGGCTTTTCATTTCTGTAGCTGAAGATCAAAGTTGTGGGCCGAGCGTCTTGCCCAGGTCAGGGAGGAGATCCGACCTAAGTGTTTAAAGTCACGCTTTGTCTCTTTTTCTGTCCTGCTCCCGTCAAAACAAAGAATGGTGACTGTTTTCCCGGACCCTGGATGGGCTTCCTGGGCCCTGACCTGCCCCAGCTCTGCCCTTGGCCAGCAGGTCCTCCTGGTCTCCTTGCCTGGCCTGCAGCGCTTCCCTCCCTTGCATGGTTCCTGCAGTGCCTTCTGGGTGCTCAGTGAGGTGCCCATGGCGACGTGTGTCCTTCAGTGTGGCTCTTCCCCAGGAGCTGCAGGCCGCAGGGAGACTCCTCTAGAACCTGCCTGACACTTGACCTTTACCAGGTCTGAAGGAAGGAGGGGAACTCACTCTACCTGGGGACACCCAGTGCACATGGCAGGCCACCTGGCTGACGGGGGGGTGGGCGGTCCTAGGACACCAAAAGGCAACAGGAAAGTCTTGATGGAGAGAAACTAGGGTTTGGGGTGCGCCCTGGGCCAGGCTCTTCCTTTAGTGGCTTCAGAGGCAAAGAGCAGGGGATTCAGAGTGGGAAGGTCCGAGCTGGCCCAGGTCCACCACTGTGACTGCGAGTGCAGGGCTAGCTCCTCTGCAGTGTCAGGGAGGACCTGTTCACACCTCTCTGCTCCCAGTGGGTACCAGTGACCGTGGGTGTCTCTTGCTTGGAGGCCCAGGGCTCCATTCTCGGCCTCTATCTTCATTGGGTGGCCCTCTGTCCTTTCTCTTATAGGGACACCTATGATTGGACTTAAGGTCTGTCTTAAATCCAGGTTGATTTCATCTGGAGATCCTTAACTCATTACATCTGCGAAGGCCTTATTTAAAAAGGTCACATTCTGAGGTGGACATGGTGGACATGGACTTTTAGGGGACAGTATTCCACACAGTGCAGCCCAGGGAGGGGAGGGGACTGGAAAGGAGGATGCGGTGGTGGCCTTGTGTCCACGGGCAGCTCCTGGTCTCCTGGGGGCGCCCTGGAGTCAGGACCAGTAAGATGGGGTCTGAGCCATTGGGTGGACGTCCACTGGGGGACACAACTGGTAATATAGAGGGTTACACTACAGGGTCGACTTAAGTTACCACCTTGAATATCGGTTGTTTTCCAGCTCCTGGATCCGGTTATCAGATCATAGAAGGTCCCCACAATGCGACCGTCCTGGAGGGCTCGGAGGCTCGCTTCAACTGTACCGTGTCCCCGGGCTGGAAGCTCATCATGTGGGCTCTCCAGGGCACGGTGGTCCTGAGCGTCACCCCCAGGGAGCCCATCATCACCAATGACCGCTTCACCTCCGAGAGTTACGAGGACGTGGACGGGAACTTCATCTCCGAGATGATAATCCACAACGCGCAGCTCAGTGACTCGGGGTGGGTCAAATGCAGCCTCCAGAACAGTGAGCGGGAAGGACTGGCTTTCCTTGCTGTCCAAGGTGTGTGTCCAGGTGGCCCCCACGCTGGGAAGCTGCGGTCCATTGGCTTGGCCATCAGAGGGTCAGAAGGGGCCTTATGAAGTCGAGGCCACACAGGGTGGCCCTGTTCTGCCTTCGGCTGGTGTCACCCTTGCCCTTGGAGAATGTGGTGTTTGTCACTGTCCTCCGTCCCTCCCTCCCTCCCCGTACAGCCCGGCCTTCAGTTTGCAGGGTGTAGAATCGCCCAGAACTAATGTTTACTGTTTGTCCTTCATCTCTCTCCTCCCTCCCTCACCTCTCCCTTTCCTCCTTCTTCTCCTTTCTCCTTCCTCTGCTTTTTTTAAAAAGACTGTTGGTATGGGCTTGGTCATTCTGGTTCCTTCCTGTATCTCCCGGCCTTTCTGGACCCCATCCCCGCATCCTGCAGGATCAGGGACGAGCGCTGTCTCTGCTGTGGAGATGTGTGACGATCACGGTCCCTTCTCTGGTTTTCGCTAGACTTCACCGTCTTTCTTTGCACACATTATTGACCAACTTTGAACATGCCTTAAGTTCCTTCTCTTCCTGGCTGGAATTCCCCCACCTCGTTCTCTCCCCGCCCCTACTGCAGTGGTTATTACAGTCAGAGGTGTGTGTTCATCAGATGTACCGAGCCTCTGGGAGAGAAGGGACGTAAACATCATGTGTCATGATGATAACTTCTTTTCTATTCTTCAAGGTAACGCTGAGATTCTGAAGATCATGTTACATACTAGGGGAAAAAAAATAAAGGGATGCTTTGTCAAGGATCTAGAATATTCTGATCCAAGTTCGATCCCTTTGTAGTCTTTCGCAGTATATTTATGTACTGTTTATAGAGGCACAGGAACTAGCGGGGTTCTGGGTTTCCACGTTAGCACTACTTACAAGAGACTGTGCCATATCTTTGAAATGATTTCTTACATCCATTTACATATTTGCCTGAGGGAAATTCTCAAAGATTCTGTCTATGTTCCTGTTGCTGACATATCAGATTTCATAATATTCGATGGAGAGACATGTCTATTTCTATTTGCTTTTTTAAATGATTTTTTTACTGTAGAAATTGAGCTACATTGGTGAGCTACTGCAGTGTGTCATTCATTTTGTGTGGTTTAATGAGAGTCCAATGACATTTTCTAAGTAAGTGATCCTCTGAGGCCACCTAGGACCGCTGGCCTTTTGCACGACCAGCTTCTTGCGATAATGACTTGTGGTTTAAGGGAAAGAACACAGGAGGAGAGCGTCAAAGGCACGAGCTCTGCGTGGCTTTGTCTCCCAGAGAGACAGCTACCTCATCTTTTAAAAACCGGGATGAGGCTTCCCTGCCCACATCCTAGGCTTGCTGTGAAGACCAGATGTACAAATGACTCAGGATAGTTTGGGGACTCCAAAGTCCCTTCCCTTCAATAGATGACAGCAGAGCCAGGGCCACAGTGCCACACATTATTGTGACTTGAGGCCTCACTGCCTGGGGTCACTGTTCAGCTCTATGGCTAACCCCTGGTGTGACCCAGGACATGGCGTCCAGTGGCCTTGTGCCCTCGTTCCTTCGCCACAGGGCTGTCGTTGATGTAGGACGGATGAGGCTGGACACCCGAGGAATTTTCAGGAAGCAGGTTTACTCAGGCTGCAGTGGTCCAGAGGGGCTCATGCCTATAAATCTCTGGATTTCCCAGAGTCTGGAAATTCCTTTAGATTAGACAGTGGCATCGGTGGGAACATGACAGTTACTCTTTGTCTCCTACTCGTAGGCTAGACAGAGGCTTCACACGCTGTGTCTGCAAACCTGGCATTTACAAGAAAGAGGAAGCTCTGAACCACAGTGAGCTCTCTGCAGATCTCCTGTGAGATCCTGTTGGCGCTCTTTGTAAAAATCTGACAAGAAGAGAAGCTTAATTCTGGTGGGGGGATCTTTTGGGTGGGGGTACCCAGTCTGCTTCGTCATGGCATCTCCAAGGCGGGTCTGTGGAAGGTCTTCAGCTCAGCGTGGCCCCAGGACCATTTGCTTTATATTTATTGGGTTCCTGAAAAGAGCAGGCGTTTCTGTGCGACTCAAGATGATAAGAGGAAGACACGGTTCCTGTCCTCAGGAGCCCGACAAGACCAGGGAGAGGCAAGTGGCCACCCAGGGGCTGGCAGCCGTGAGGGAAGGAGGACAAGACTGGGGACCCACAGGGAAGGAGGTGACGGGCTCTGCCACTCCTCCCAGAGCAACTTCCCGGAGAAGGCTTCGTCTGAGGTGTGCCTGGGAGGTCTGCGGACCTGGAAGCAGGAGCGAGAGAGGAGGAGGGAGCCTGGATGGGGAGTGGAGCAGGAAGGCTGGCTCCTCTCCCAAGGCCGCGAGCCCACAGGGTTGTCTGAATACGCCCAGTGCACATCCTTCCGTATGGTAATTGCCGTCATTTTTGGTTTTAATACAAATGAAAGAAGAAGCTTCTAGGGGAGGCAGAACTTTCTCCAGGGTCGTGCAGAGGGAACCCACAGGGCTGGGGCTGCGTGCCATCATTTCACCACAGCTCCATGGATCTGGGTGGCACTTTGTCGTTGGAGGAACATGTTCTCTGAGCAGCAAGGTCTCCTCGAGGGAGAAAAGCATCTTGAAAAAAGAGAGGACATGCCCACCAATTACCCAACGATGCTCATTTTTCCTACACGTATCAATGAGGAACATAAAGAGTGGATGGAGCTCCAGTTTGAGTCATGCAAACTCTGTGGGAGCGCTGGAGTCATCCTCTTGTGGACAGAGTGTGTCCTGCTGCTGGAGAAGCTCCGTGAAGCCAGCGGGGAAAGTGGAAGTCCAGATTGCTGTGTGGGTCCTTTCATCAGCCATCTACCACTTTACCCCTCACCAAACAGCCCTGGTGTTTTGAGGACCACTTGGCCCAGAGTTCAAGGTCCTCTGATCTTGTCTGAGGCAATACTGTTCCTTCCAGGCTCTGCATCTTAAGACCCCTCTCCATCAAACAAACAACGGACAGACACAGGACAAGTGCAAAACCCTGTGGACATAAGGGACAAGTCCTTACCCTGCTGTCATCGCATTTACGATGGCCCTTGAATTAGCAAAGGTGCCTTCTTATTCCAGGGAATATTCAGGAATGAAACAGTTGGAAGTCTCAGCGTGGGTGGGTCAGGCAGAGCTGGTCTGGTTCATGTGGCCTGGGACTACTTGGTACCCAGGACCTCTCCAGGGGTCAGTGAAGCCACTGGTGCTCTCAGAGTTCCCAGATGGGGGCTGAGTTTCTGCTTTCCGTCTGGCAAGTGCCCAGGGAGCTTTTGGCTGGGCACTGGGAAGGTCTACAGGGCTCAGCAGGCCCGCACTTTCCCCAAGTGAATAGGGACAATGGTACAAAGTCACGAGAGGACAAAAGACCCCAAGTGCCCACTGGAGAGGAGGAAAGTCCCTTGGTACAGCTTCAGAGTCCATGGTGCCACCAGCCTTGAAGAACGCTCAGCTGTTGAGCTTTGGTCTGGTATCAAAGAAGAGCAGGATGATCTACAAAGGCGAGGAGCTTCTCCGCACTATTGCAATTACATTTCAGTGTGAAGTGAGAGAGTCTTTACATCTTTCAAACAAAGCGATATATTGCAACAGATGGAAGGAAGAAGCAGATGTGAGTTCCTGGCCAGACACCGAGATTTTTGTATAAGTAGGAAACAACGTCACCCTTACTAATTTTTATTGGTTTAAAAATTAAGTTATTTTTTATGAAATATGTTGATCTATGTTGGCATGGAATAGGTTATTTTTTTGAATAAATATGTTAAAGTAAATATTTAATCTAAATTTTAAATATGTTAACTATCAATAGAATCCATATAAATGAAAGGTCTTTGGAGTCCTCAGAGATTTTCAAGAGTTAAAAGATACTGAAACCAAACTGAGAACGGCTTACCTGGTCAAATCATCTGATTGACAGGAGGAAAACAGCAGCAGGATTTCGGTCTTTTTTTGAGGTAATGGCAATTTTTCAGCAGAGCCAGGAGCGAGGGCAGAGCCTTTGATTCTTAGTCCAGTGTTCTTTCCATTACATTACGTGGAGGGGAGTTTCAGCATGTGCAATTTGAATATTTCAATGCATGTATATTTCGCTAAGGCTGTGTCTTTGCTGGAGCCAACACTCAGGTTGTATTAGCAATATCAGCAAAAGTAAGCAATATTTTCCCATGGATTATTTACATTGTGAACACTGGTATAGGCAAACGGGTTCTCGATAAAATTTTAAAAATCATTTATCTGAGTAAACCATTTTGATACATGATTTGGATTCATTATTTCTATCATTACCTCAGATTTGATTTTTGTTTAACATATGGCTACAATCATATTTTAAAGGCCATGTCAAAGATAGTAATAATGTCTAAGCATTTGTGATCCCCACAATAAATAAAACAAATGTGGTTGACCCCACGTCAAGGAGAGGCCTGCTTCCTGGGAGGCTCCAGAATCGGGCCACTTTGAAAAGAATCTGGAGGCTGTTTCCCTTCCTGCTTTTGCTCCCGGGGAGGCCCAGGACAATCCTGTGGCTCACTGCAGTGACTCTGTGGCCATGCATCTGTTTTCTCTTCCCTATAAAGTGGTTCCCCAGAGCATCGTGGGCGATCTCACCTTCTCTTGAGAACCTGGCAGATATAGAAAGGGACACAGGTGAAACCTGAGCTGGGGTTTCCCAGGACAGACACAGCCTCGGGCTTTGGGAAGAAAGTCTCCTGCCCTGTGATTGAGAACACGAATTGCCGCAGGAGAAGAGGAGCTGGCGCTGACAGCCACTGCCGATTCTCCGACTTTCTCTCTTCTCTTCCTCAGTCATGGGAGCGCTGTACATTCCCAATGACAGCATTGTAGTCACTGAAGACGAGCCTTGTACTGTCACTTGCCGCGCACTGGGCTGGAGCCCACTCCCGAATATTTCCTGGGAGGTCGCCGTCCCCGTAAGCCAGTCGAGCTATTACTCCTTCCTGGAGCCCGGCGAGCCCCGCAGTACGGTGAGCGTCCTGGCTCTCACGCCGCAGGGCAACGGGACCCTGACTTGTGTGGCTAACCTGAGGAGTGTGCAGGCCCACAAGGCCGTGGCTGTCAACCTCACGGTGGTCCAGTCTCCGTCTGGTGAGTGAAGACTTTCTGCCTCATGTCCAGGGAATTGTGCCTTCAAGCTTCTGTTTTCTGTGTGGGGCTAACATAATGCCTGAGAAAATCACAGGGGACCTTGGTTTCTAGCTGGGGATGGTAATGAAGACAAATATCTTCTGCTGTTGGCTTAAGGATCCTGTGATCTCTTCTGCACTTAAAATTCATCTTAAGGTTTTTTTTGCACATGAGAACCATTCAGAAGTCTTGCCAATCAATGATCATAAAAGAGCATTGGATTCAGAGACAGATATTTGGATTGAATATTTCCTCTAGCCTCTACTGATATGTTCCAGGTTGGTCCCACTTCTGAGGAGAGGAAGCAGGTCCCAGTGTTGGGGAGGGTGTTCGGGTTGCCTTAGGGGAATTATGAGGTTTGATCTAGTTTGCCCAGCAAATCCTCTATGCACCATGTTTCCATTGACTGTTTAACTGGACTAAGGGATATGACTTTAAAGTCTAGATCCTTCAGTGGGATCTACATGGGGTCCTTGACAGGCCGGAGACCCTAACCAGCAACTTGCAGAACCTATGAGCTCCAAGTGGTGTGGGTGGATGGGAGCGCAGGGGCGGTGGGGTTTTGGGTGCTCAGCCTGGAGATTCTCTTTAATGCCTTTGTTTCGCAGAAGACGGGGAGGTCTGGAAAAGTGTTCTGCTCTAATCAAGAGCACTAGCTGGGTGGGGCAGAGTGAGTCCTGGAAGCTAAGGAGAGTTTTTCTCTTGGTTCAAAGCTTTTCCCACCATGCAACCACCATTACTCGAGGGTTTTCAAAGTTCAGAACAAAGCTCTAGCCAAAGCAAAATAATAATAATAATCCAATAATAAACAGCACTTTCCAACCACAATAAAGAGGCACTGTCCCAAGCACTTCCCAAGTATTTTCACCACTGTGACCAAAAGACTTGACAAGAACAATTAGAGGAGGAAAAGTTTATCTGGGGGCTCAGGATTTCAGAAGTCTCAGTCCATAAAAGGCCAATACCACTCCTTGGGGCCTAAGAGGAGGCAGAACGTCACGGCGGATATATGTGGTGGAGGAAAGTGGCTCAGGACGTGGTGATCAGGAAGTAGAGGGAGCTCCACTCAATGAGGACTCAATATACACCCAAAGGCATGCTCTCAGTGACCCGGCTCCTCCCCACGTACCCTGTCTGCCTGCAGTTCCCACCGGGAACTATCAGGGGATTGATTCACTGATTAGGTTGAGGCTCTCTAACCCGGTCATTTCACCTCCAAACTTTCTTGCATTTTCTCATACGTTTTTGGGGGACACCTCACATCCAAACAGAACATCAAATATGAACCAGGTTCACCTGCACAGCAACCCTAGTCACTGTAAGGTGAGGTGACAGGGACAGTATTGACAGGATTTTGACCAGGCCATAGAGACAGTAGGCAGCAGGGCAGTCCTGGCAGTCTGTCCCTAGGATCTGACCACCCACTCCACCCACCGCCATGTGAGTGCCACTGAATTGTGTAAGGGCTTCCTGTGGCCGCTGTATGAGGTGTTGCAGATGACAGGGCGGGGGGCTGGGAGGACCAAACAGCAGGAAGTCACTGTCTGGTCCCTTTGGAGGCTGCAGTCTCAGCTCAAGGTGTCAGTAGGGCTTGTTCCTCTTGAGGGCGGTGAGGGAGAATCTGTTCTACTGCTTTCCCTTCATTTCTGGTGCTGGCTGGTGGTCTTTGGCGATGTGTCTTTAGCCATGTTGATGGAACTCTGCCTTCATCTTCCCATGGTGTTCTCCCTGTGACCAGACCGCCCACCCCCCACCCCCACATTTTTTTTTTTTTTTTTTTTTGACAACAGTCATATTGGATCAGGGAGTTGTCTTACTCCAGAATGACCTCAACTTACATTTGCAATGCTTCTCTTTCAAAATAAGATCACATTCTGAGGGATTTAACGTGAGTTATTTTGGGGCACAGTTCATCCCATAACAGGAATCTCTGAACCTATCAAAAACTGTTCTGAGCCTAACCTGTTGTAACCACCCACCATCTGTACTCCATGCCATGTGGATTGATCCCCAGGGCAGTGTTTGCTCACTCCCCTGATGTAAGCCTTCTTGTTTCCAATTCGGCTGTCCCCAGAGACCAGGCAGACAACAAAAATGAACACAGAAATGAATATATGCATCAGCTAGAGGATGGAGTGGTAGGGGAGGGGGGAAACCAGAGCACACTCGCCCCTGCACACAGAGCAGCTCACACCAGCTCCAGCTGATTGTTGCTGAGGGTATGTGGACCCAGTACTGCCAGCCCCAAGTACTCCATGACTAGGTAGAAATCTGGAATTTTATGTGAACTTCTGTGGCTTTTGAATGTTGTAGCTTCTTAAACCATCTTGTAACTCTGTAGGCTAAGCAAACACAATAACCATAAGGGGCCTTGTACTGTCCATTCCCCAGCCCTGTGTGATGTCTCCCTGTTAAAATAGGCCCACACTCCTCACTCTGAGGTCCGTGGACTAGGAAAATGGTACTGCAGAATAAATTTATCTCCAAGAGAACTAACTTGTAGCTATTATTTTCCAAATTCCAAGGAGCAGAAGTCTGTTACAAGGATTCCCTCCTCCTTTTCCCTCATTTATTCCCTTTGTTCTGGAATAAGAAAGAGCAGGAGAGCTGCTCACTGGGGCAGTGTCTCCCCTCCTGCTTGTTTTGGTGCACACACTCTAGCTCTTCCTGAGCTGGCCGTGGGATGTCGCTCTGGGTTGCTTAGGCCTGGTTCTGGTAAAAGGCAGTGTTTTTAGGGTAGGGACACGAACCTTGTGTTTCTTTAGTCAAGGCTAGCTTATTCTAGCTGATTAAATTCAGGGAAATCTAGCTTGTTCCCTACCAAGACAGTATGTGGGAATAAGCTCGAATCCAAACCTAGTTTGCTTTTCTTTCTCCACCTTACTTTGAACAGTTATAAAACCTTTACAACAGTTGCGAGGACAGTATAGGAAATACCCATGTTTCTTCATCTGGGTCACTAAATGTTCCCTAGATGCTTGTCATGCTTGCCTCCCTCTTTTTTCTGTCCCTCAACCTTCCCCCAGAGTATTTGAGAGTCACCTGGGGATGGGATGATGCTGTGTCCTGAAATGCCTCAGAGGTCTGTCGTCATACAGGGAGGCCACTCTCCCACATGACCCCATATAGTTGGCTACTAGAAAGCTTAACCTTCATCCAGGACCATTGCACAGGATGGGGTCTGTACTTCCAATATCTCTGATAATGTAATATGTAGTGAGTTGTTTCCCCCAAACTGGTGTTAGCTTTGGGTGTCAGGGCTTCAGTCTCCTTGAAGTTCAAATGGCTCCCCTAACTTTTTGCCTCTCATGGTCTAAACATTTTTGAAGGGTCCGGTCTACTTCTGAAGGATTCTCCCCAATTTGGATTTTTTTCCTATTTTTTTTTCCCAGCATGCTTTGCAGTAGGCTAAATATAATCTTGCAAGATGTAGGTAATGCCACATGGGCACACGAGGACAGTGTTCTCTATCATTGGTAATGAGTATGTCTGTGGCATCTCCTGGATCTCTCCAGTTGAAAAGCTACCCTTTTGCCTTAATAATTAACATCGGATCCATGCACACTGTGGGAAGGTGCTGTTTCTCCACAGCCTTCCACCTAATAACTTTTGCATTTACTGCTAAGTCACTGCTGGAATGTGTTATTTCTATGCTGGCTGTAAACCAGCCTTTCTATATTTAGCTGTTGGCATTCTTTTGTAAAGAAAAGACCTTCTTTTCTTCCTTTCGCGTCTCTTTTCCTTCCTGTTTTGGACTCATTTATTTCCTACCCATTGTATTCCACTCTTGTCATTATTCCTTTTGATGCTCAGCTTGGTCCCAGGGTGGCCTGCAGGAGTCCTTTCAAGCTGTCTCGGTGTCTTTTTGATGTTTCCCTCTTACTTTCTAAGCACATGGTCCAGTCAGTGTCCCAGACTCACTTTGCACCTCCGTGTCCCAGCCTGGAATCGACCACGTTGGCACGGAGCTGACCAGCTTGCCTTTATGCTATTTAAATATGATGAAGTCTGGTCCAGGCTTTGAAAGGAAGACTGAAAAAAAATGCATAAGTCTTCTGTATTCTGGAAAGAAGTGTCTGTTGAAGCACGTATTTTGCAGGGTAGCAGGGCAGCCAGGAGCTCTTGCAGGACCGATGGTACCCTATAGAAAGGGATTTTAGAGATTAGGTAGCCAGCAATTTTTTTCCTGCTATAGGGGCATGGCAGAGGGAGGGCGTTTAATGTCCCTTGTAGGTTGACTCAGTGGAATTCTGCAGGGACCACACGAGAGCTTTACGTTCAGTGGCTAGAGGCAGGACGGCTGGGCAGGAGGTTTAGTGGGTGGGCGGCAGTGAGTCTGTCCTTATTGGACTCATTTGGAAAAGGGTCATTAGTTTCTAAATTATTCATCCAGGTCTGGAGCAGCTGGTGCTGGCAGTGTGTTGTGTGTTTTGTGCAAGTTTTATTGGCGGAAGTCTCTGTCGCAGCCTTGGCTGGTGCAGCTGGCCTGAGGCTGCAAGTGGCAGAGCCAGGTTCCCAGGGAGCTGCGAGGGAGTCAGCTCTGCCTGTCAGGCTTCTTCAGGATCTGGTCAACATCAGTCCTGATGCCACTTCCCAAAGCACAAGGAATCTGTTCTCATTTCTGGAGTGATCCCTGTCAGTCACTGAGGGAAGGACAGTGGCAGCAGAGGAGGTTGGAGCAGGTCAAGCCACGTTGCACGGAGTTCTTCCTACTGGTGTGTAGCCCAAAAGCCTTCCTCAAGAAAAGCGAATTGCAAGGTGAATCCTCATCTTCAGAACTGTTTTATAAAAGCTGATTTTCTTGCTGACAGAAGAAACAGAAACTTAGAGTATCACAGACATCCCTGAGACTAGCAAGCAACAGCCCTCTCGCCTCTGTCTTGAGACGCTGTGGGCCTTCATGCCACTCTGGGTTGTTTTCTTTTTTTTAAAATTTGTTTTAATTAGATACACATGACAGTACAATGATCTCGACGCATCATACATTTGGATCTCTGGGTTGTTTTCTTTGCATGTATCCGTGGACAGCTTGGGAAAGGATGGAGCTGACACATGACCGCCCCTTGTGGGAGGGCGTGACTCCTGTCCACGGTGCATGTCCACGGAAATTCAGGGGCAGAGAAGGGCGGTAGGCGTGACAGTCCTTTCACTCTACAACTAATGGTGTGATTCTGGGCTCCGTTGTCTCACCTGTGACAAGGGCAGGAGAAGAGCAGAGCGGTTCTCCCTTCTGCTGGGTGTCAGTCACCAGGGGAGCCTGGACATGGACACTGAGGCTCAGGCTCCTCCCCAGAGGCTCTGGTTTAACTGGTCTTCTTGGAGCCTGGAAATCAGGATTTTAAAATTCCCAAACCATCTGCTGGGCACCTAGGATTTTGGGACACTGTTCTAAAAAAAAATCTCCAGGTCCCCACCTTCCATCTAGCCTTCAGGAGTTGGTTTAAACATGCAGGTTTAATCACTCACTAGACAAGTGGCTTTGGGCACGTCATTTAACCTCCCCTGACCTCTGTTTTGTCATCTGTAAAGCTGAGATTAGAGCGAGGCTCCTCACATGGCCGCTGTTGGTGGTAGAGGGGGCGGGCTGAAGCGCCTGCAGCACTGGGGTGGCCTGCCCAGGCAGGACGCAGAGCCAGGGCTGGCGTCTCACTGGTCCACTGATCCCCTGTGTCCCTCCAGTTCACCAAGAAGCGGGCTTTGGACATGGTGGCAGTGAGATTTTGTATGAACACAGTTGGCTTCAAGAAATTCTACGCAGCCTTTTACAACTGCACCTTCCTTTGAGAGCACCTGGGAGATACATCTTCCTTGTCTTCAAAGACGTAAAGAAGGGAAAAGGACACTCTTGAGGCTGAGAAAGCACACCTTAGGTCAGTCATGCAGCCCCCACCGTGGTGTGAGGACCGTAGGGAGGGAGGTGGTGCTGACCGGGAGATGGCCTCTCAGGCCCCATCTGTGGTCACTCAGGTATGGCACCTCTCTGCCAGCGAGCCTACCACACCTGGAAGCAGGCACACCCCAGACTTCTTGAAGACGTGTGTATTTCATGTCAGGCCTGGGTGGTGACTTCCCAGGGGGATTGGGGTAACTCATGGCAGGGTGCGGGGTGAGTTGAAGGACGAGGCTCTCCTGTGCCAAGAGCCCTGGGCAGATCACTTGGGCTCTTGGCTCCTGGATAAGACCATTCCAAGACTCTGTGTTTTCTGTGCACCTTTATGATTTTTTGATTTATCAGTATATGACTCTTATTATTTATTTTTTTCAATCTACCATAATTGTATCCATTTTAAAAATTGGCCTTATACTGAACAAAAATATCCAGTGTGTATATGATACATGTGTGCATATACAAATACACACATACACATGTGTGTAACACATGAAAAACAGAATCATTATTAAAACGAAAGAGGTTAACCTGTGGAGCTCTAGGACTAAACCCTCCCCACCCCGGCTCATGTACAAGGCTTTGTCCTCCCCTGAGTTAGAGGGAGACTAGAGCTCAAATCTCTCCCAGGTGTAGACTTCCAACAGCATGTGGTCACCACCAGTAGAGAGCAGAGGAATGAGCCTTCTGGTTCCTGAGGCCAGTTGCCATTTTGGTCAGTGTTGCAGGCTTTTGGGCAGGCATCGCCTGGCTGACTGGTGAGTTAAGGAACAAGAAAGTGGGTGATGCCAATAGGGTCCACTCTCCTCCTTGACTCTGTCACCAGTCTCTGCAAGGCTGCTTCCCCTCCTGCAAGCAGGCACGCCCAAGGGCACTCCCAAGGACACAGTAGGCAGTGGTTTCTAGGTCAGAGGAAAGGCTGTCAGGTCAAGACTGAGCTGGCAGGAGGGTGGGAAAGGCCACGGCATGATGTCTTAGCAGGTGACGGGTCCTGCCGATTGCTGACATACTGAGCCAGACCTTACTGTTTAACCTGAGCCAGCTCCCTTATTGTGAAAACTTGTCATATTTGCAAGCTGAGTTTTGTAAGAGCCCATCAAACTGGATGCAGGGTGACAGTGGCAATCTCAGACGTGTGCATTGGAACTTAGAGCCTCCTCAGAACTTTCCCACACATTTTTTGAGTCTCTGGGCAAGAATTGTTACTGGTGAGTGAGATGGAGGCCAAAGAGGACACAGCAGGTACACAGTGGCATGAGACTGACTGGCTTCCCCAAGTCAGGCCTCAAGAGAAGCCCGAAGCTCTTGTCAGTCATAAACCTTCCCCACAGTGCTGATTTTCAACTCCAGATTGAGAATAGATTGATGAAGTTCTTGACTTAATCCTATTCTTATGGATTTGTGGGAGGGGGCACATGGGAGCACCCTGTAATGAATGGAGTTACTCTTGGGCAGTGTTTACATTTTTGTCACATACTAGGGATTCTCAGAGTGTGGGTCCTCAGCCACCTGCATCTCAATCACTTGGGACACTATTCCAAATCCCTTGATTCTGCACATCCAACAAGCATTCCAGAGGATTCTTGGGGTTCTTCCATCTGTGGAACAAGGGGATAATAAGCTTGCTCTCTGAAAATGAGGAGCTTGTGTTAGTGTTTCAAGTCTGGGGGTGGGAGGTATGGTAGAAAAGGGTATAATTCTATCTTCTCCCCATCACAATTTTTGGGGCCCTTTTCTTGTCTCTTTCTGTCCTATCTCATTTCAGAAAGATAATGAGTAAGGTGGAGGTAGATGACATTAGAAAAATAGTTGACTTTCTCTACATTCCTACAATTCTGTTCTGAGCATCCTAATATGGACAGAAAGGTGAGTTCTAGGTATGACTTGGCTACAGCCAACTGCCTGACTTCTCTGTGTGGAGACAGAAGGGAACTCAGCATCTTAGTCATCCATCCATCCATCCATCCATCCATCCATCTATCCATCATGCCTAATATGTTCCAGGTGCTTGGAGTATAAGAAAAATAAGTCAGTCCTTGACCTTGAGAAAGGTAAGTCCTGTTTGGACATCATAAGATATATAAGGAGAAATGAAAGCAACAGTTGATTTCCTCGACGTTTGATATGACAGTAAATGTGAGGTGTTCAAAAGAGAAACTCAAAATTATTTTAATATTTCTCAATTTCTTAGAAGAAAAATTTAAAAAAATCCTTTACAGACAAAGCAGAGAATCTTTGTGTAGGAAGGCAAGACACATATTTTTTTATATTATATAATTCTTCAATGTATAGAGTTCCCGGAATTTCAGCTCTTGTTTTTAGACAAGTATGTAGATGATTCTGCAGCTGGATCCTGACCTGCCCATGAGTCAGCCTCCAGGTGTTTGGAGGTGTTAGACACGAGGCACAGTTCTGAGAATTTGGCACAGACATGGGAATGGCAAACTATAATTGCAAGGTCAATTTTCAAGGAAAGCTCTAAGGAAGAACATCCAAGAGTGATTTTCAACTCTGGCCTTTGGTTCCAAAGTGCTGAATGACCATTAATTTCAAAGCCAACTCCATGTTCCTTCAGAGGAAGACTCTGTTTTAATATTTTTTGATGTGTAGCATCTAATAAAGTAGCACACATTTACATCAAGATGCAACTCACTCACTCAGGGCTGAGTGACAATTGTTTGTCTAGAGCAATTCACAGTCGGACAGTGGTGGTTTGGCTTCCATGTGGCTTGGCAGGGAGAAGCGAAATGCTGGACCAGGCCCTTCTGGGAGCACCAGTGTCGTTCCCACAAACCATGGCCCGGCCATGCTGCCCGGTAGGACTTTCTGTCATGACAGAGGTATCCCATAGCTGTGATAATCAAGCACTCAAAATGGGACAGTAACAGAGGCACTGAATAGTTAATACACCTAATTTGAATTAATTAAAATTTGAATTTGAATAACAACATAAAAAGCCAGGATTGGAGAGCTCTGAGACACGGCAGCAAAAAATCAAAATGGCCTTTTTTCTCTCTTTCCTGCTGTGCCCGCTTCCTTTAACTTCCTGCCCGTTCCTCCTCGGCTGGCCATTTTTCTCTTGTGACCCCCTGACTGCCTGGTACAATCAGAGGGCAAAGCAGTCCCCGAGGAGGGTGGCTCCTGAGAGCTATGGGAAGGCAATTTCAGCCTGAGAACTAGATCCTGCAGCGGGTCTGGGTGGGGCTGCTGCGAAAGCCCTGTACCTGGCTTCCTTAGCAGTGACTGGCTCTGTTCCTGTTGGCTCTGGAACCTCAGAGTGGCCCCCAGGAGCGAGACCCCCGTCATTCTCCAGTCTTGCCCGGCAGCAGCTGCTTGAGGCTGATTCTTGAGTGAACACAGAAGGTGCGGGTGTGATGAGAGTCCTCTGCCCCGGGCCCAGGCTTTTGCCTCTCAGGGCATCGGGTGCTCCCAACTCACACCTGGGCTGGGTTCCTCAGCAGTTATTTATGGATAACAATAAATATGATGATGGGAGATGCTGACCAGTGTGGACTAACTGGACTCATGGAAGGGACGCTGGCCTCTGGCGCCTGGCCACAGCAGGCTCCCTGTTGGAATTAGTGGAAAACAGACTGTAATGTAGAGCGAGGCAGTCCACGATCCGAGGCAAAGCTCACTCAAATGTCTCCTCTCCTTTCAACCCTGCAGACAACATGGAAAAGTCAGGTGCATCGTTGCCCACCTGGGCCATCGCTCTGCTCGCAGTGTTATGCGTGTTGGTGTTTATCCTGATAGTTGTTCTGATCATCGTATTCTGCTGCTGTTGTTCCTCTCGGAGAAAGAAAAAAGGTAACTTTTTCCTGTGTAAATTTTTATGTAGTTTTGAAGTTTGGTATAAGCAGATGAAGCTGATGAGCTCGTGAGCTCTTTTAAATGACACACTGAGGGCGAGCAGATAGAACTTCCCACCTGCAAGAGTGGCTATTGTCAAAAAGACAGATGGCCAGTGTTGGAGAAAGTGTGGAGAGAGGGGGCCCTTGAACACTGGGCGGGAATGCAAATAGGAGGGGCCATGATGGGAACAGTGGGGGGGCTCAGACAAAATGAAGCCCAGGGCCACTGCGTGATCCAGCAACCCCACTACTGGGTATGTACCCAAAGAAAGCGGAATCGGAATGTCCAAGAGATGCCTGCTCTCCACGTTTATGACAGCACTATTGTTAGCCAAGAAGGGGAAACCGTCCAAATGTCCGTCCATTGAGGAATGGAGAAAGAAAGTGTGAGCTATCACACACGCGAACTTACACAGAGTCAAAGGGCAGCTGCCAGGTTGGGGCTGAGGGGATGGGGACATGTAGGTCCAAGCAGACAAGGTTTCAGTCAGCCAGGACGGATAAGTTATGGAGATCCATTGCAAAGCAGGGTGTCTGTACTTATCATACTGCATTGTGTGCTTGGAAATTACTACGAGAAGAGGTTCCAAATGTTCTCACCATAAAAAGGTGATTAAATGTAAGAGGCGATGGATGTATTGAATAGCTCTTTAATCAGTTCACGATGCACACATGTCAAAACATCATACCACACGCTGGAAGTATATACAATTTTAACACATATAAAACTGATATATATATATAAAAATAATAGATCAATATCAGTTATACTTAATAAAGTTGGGAAAACAGTAACAAAAAATGAGACAAAACCCAAAACAGAAGAGCCCTTGACTCCAAAGCCCTTGAAAGGAGCTGGAGAGATCCACGGGGAAGCTGAGGGTCGTTTGGGAAGGAGCTGATCTGTAGGAGCTGTGGGGTCTTCCCTCTGCCGGGAAGCCAAGGAGGCAGTGCCTTTCTCACCAGAGACACGGGTTATTTGAACTTTGTGCTTATTTTCAAGGGTATGTAGCTACTGTGATGTGTCATTGAATGCTGTAGTTTTTTTTTAGGATAAAACCTACTTGTTTGGGCACATCAGAAAGTTGTTTCCTGTTGTGTGAAGTTAAATTTCCCTTTGCAGGAAAATATTAATGTACTGGTAGAAAGAAAAATAAGGTCTCCTGTTACAGTCTGGATTTCCCCATGAGGATAATTTCAATGCTTCAAATGACTAAGTATAATTTTTCCCCAAAAAGTATTTTTTGGTACTCGACTGGTACCTGCAGAATTCTCCCTGTGCCAAGTGGTTGACAGTGGAGTGACTGAGAGGGACCCAGTGGAGTCCTGAAGAACACAGGCTTGAGAGACAGGCGTGGGGACTTGGTCTGTGGCTTGTTACTCCCCATCTTCAGATTCTAGATTCACTATAGTTCAAGAATCCATTGATTAGAGATATTAGCAATTTAATGACAGCTTTTGGGGGTTCGTGTGTATATACCAACCGTATCTACCATTGGCACAAATGAAACTGATAGAAAATGTATCTTAGAATAACGTGAGAGGGTGATGCTACTAAGGTAATATCTAGTCTATTAAATTTGGTGACACTAATAACTACTCTTGGGTTGTTGCAACAATTAAATGAGGTGATGCTTTGTACAGTTCTGCCCTGGGGCTCATACATTGTCAATACTAATGAATGAGAGTGGTGATTGGTGGTGCCAGCACTTCTTGTTGAAGGAGTCTTTTGTAATATTGGTAATCAAACTCAAAATCACTAAATATTAATTGGATACCCACTATCTTTCAGGTTCCTTAGGTTTACTTATTTTTCTATTGGTTAAGAGTGAATTCTACTTTCCTTATTCTTGGAAGCCATTGGATGATTTGGTGTGGGGGTCACTTCTTAATACCTGCTAGGTCACCAATACTAATGTGAGGGTTAGTAGAATCTGGGCGTCTGTAACAATCAATGAGATTTTGTTTTTAAAACTAGTATTTTGATTTTTCTATTTTTTTTTTTTTTTGCAGAGTCTGTTTATCAAATTAAAATAAGGTAAGTCTGAAAACATGTCAGTTTTTTGAAAACCAAGCGAACTACCACCACCACCAACAGCACACATACCCATAATTGTGCCATTTTAGGGTTTGTGTTACTCAAAATTAAGTCCTGAAAATAGGCGATACTGCAAAGCACATGTGCCAGCCACAGACTCACGGGGTGGCCTCGGGGACTAGCACAGGGTGGACGACGGCTGCCCGTCTTGCTCTGGCTGCTTAGGGCTGGAGCAGACGTGTTGGTGCCTGGCATTTGCAGCTCCTTCCACAAGAGGACACTGTGCACCAGGACTGTCCCTCCTGTTCTCCGTTGAGGATGGGGACACCAGAGAAGGTACGCTGGGATTTCTGGGGCATTGGAAAGCCAGTCTAAGAGCTGCAGGAGGCCCTGCTCAGGATGACAAAGGAGGCAGCATTCCCTGCTCCTTGTACCACGGGAGGCAGGACAGAGACTCCCTTACCGCCCACACTGGCCAGCAGTAGCTGCAAGCACTGTAAAGTGACCGTGTCGAGACCCACCAGAGCACGTGCCCACCAGTGTGGACGCAGCACTTGGGCAGGGACCAGTGCTCCGAGGGGGGGGGGGGCTGCGGACATGGGTGGCTTCCCTGCAGGGGGCTCTGACAGTCGTGGCTAGCTGTCGCTATTTACCTGTTAATTTGAAATGCTAAGACTTAAACTATCCCTGGCTGCGCTCAGTACAGTGGACAAATGTGTGTCCTCAGGAAGGGACAGGCGCTATCCATCTCCCCCCGCCGCTGGTGATAATGCAGTTCTGAGAGGCGCTGTCTTCTGAGGACGCCACAGTGGAGCAATCTGAAGACATGTCCCCGTGGGGCCTGACTTAGGGGGAGGGAGGAGGAAGGGACACCACTCTGATAACCTTTCTGGCCTCTTTTCGACTCTACCCCTCAGGGGGATCACAGCATGGAGGCTAGCCTCGCCGTTGTTGACCATGGCCACATCTTTGGTGTCTGTTCGGGGGCCTTAGGTGACCTCAAAGCATAGTAAGATGATCAAGAGCCATTGAGGGTCCTGGGCACGGAGCAGCAACAGCCACAGTGCAGTGACCGTGGGTCCACGGGACAGCTGGCCGACGCTGGGGCGTCCCATGCACGTCAGCTTCTGACCTAAGCCCTGTGGAGCTTTGCAGTCTTGATTCTCACAGTGACTTTATGAGGCCATTTTTTTCCATTTCGTAAATGAGGACCCTGAGCTAGAGAGGTTAAGCAAAATTCCTGACGTGTCCCCTGTGGGCGGGGGAGGGTGGGAATGTGAACAGGGAGCCTGTTCCAGGGCTCAGGTCCTTCCTGTGTGTGCTGCTCCCGTGCTGGACCAGGCTCCCTGTCTGGAGGTGAGGACAGGGTAGCTCGCTCGCTGACCTGGGTCTCCTTCCAGTTGTCCCTGGCGCTGACTCCTGCCACGCGCGGCATCCTTTGCATCAAAATCACATGCGCGTTTTGAAATTTTTTTAATAGAATCAGTGCACGTTTATTGTAGACAACAATTAAACAAATATAGGTGTAAGAATTGGTGTTCAAATCCCTTACAGCTCCACGACCCAGGGTAATCATGTCCTTTACGCATGTGTGTACCTACGGGCACACGTGTTCTCATATGCACATGTGAGTTCACACACACGCACACATACGCACACAGTTACTTTATAACTTGCTGTTGTCATTTGACTCCATCCGGAAGTCAATTTTCTATCAACAATTATTTGTCCACCATATATATATATATATATAACATTTATATATATTTATATTTTTGTACCAGGGATTGAACCTAAGGGCACTTAACCACTGAGCCACATCCCCAGCCCTTTTTATGTTTTATTTTGAGGCAGGGTCTTGCTAATCTGCTATGGCCTAACTAAATTGCTGGGGGTGATGATCCTCCTGTCCCAGCCTCCCTGTGCAGGGTTACAGGGTGCCCTCCGCCCTGGGCTTGCCCACAGCATTCTTGTTTGTTTGATGAAGTCTTACATGGACATGTGACTATAGGAAAGGGCACAGACCATGCCTGTGTGGCTTGGCTGGTGTTCACAGGGCACTTGTGCCAGGGCTTGGTTGCTGAGATTCTGAGCTGGAACATCCTCAGTGTCCCGAAAGTGCTGCTCAGACCCCGTCAAATTGTTGTCTGCCCCTTGTCACCAAAGGCAGCATTCTCTGGCACCTGTCCCCACATCCCCAGACACTAGACTCCTGTAACTGTCACAGAGTGGACTCATGTCACGCGTACTCATGCACATCTTCCTGCTTGAGCTCCTCACTCGGGCTGAGCCACATTGGCACACAGATGTTGATGGCGTGACAGTTACACAATGTCACCACAATGTCACGGTGTGCAATTTATTTTTCCCTATGGCTTTAAGTAGGCGTTTGGGTAGTTTTCAGGTTGGGGCCGTTCTGAATGGAATGGCCCCTCTCTGAGCTGCTCATACGTCCTTTTGTGAACCTAAGTGCCCACTCCTGTTTGTCCTTCTGTCGGGCGCACCTCTAGCAGAGAGCCCTGGGCCACAGGGTAGGCCTGACTTCGGCCACAGTTTCCAAAGGAGCTGCTCCAGGGCACACGGCCCCCAGCAGCTCTCGAACGTTCTCATCTGTCGTGAGTTTTGCAGCAGCCTGGAGACATGTCCTAGAGACACTCGTCATTCATTTTACCAAGTCCCTGCTGTTGGCCACCTGGGCTGTTTGTGGGTATTGCTATTATACATAGCCCACGAGGAACACTCTTTCTAGAACTAATTCTTAGACATTGAGTAACTTATTCCAAACTTCTGAAACTCAATATCTTTAATTCTCCCTCTAAACATTGCCAGACACGGTTCCCAGCACGCTGCCCCACCTTGCTGTATTTCTGAGGTTGGCGCAGGGTTTCCATAAAGGGCTGCATTGTAAGCGGTTTGGTTCTGCCAGCCATCTGGTCTTTGTCACAACATTCAACTCTGCTGTTGTAACACGAGAGCAGCCCCAGACCACACGGTGGCCTGTGGACAGGTGTGGCCGTGTTCCAACAAAACTTTATTTATAACAGCAGCTGGTGGCTGCTGTTACTGACCCCTGCTTGACTTAGTGGTTCCTGAAAGTGGAGCACCAGGTGGGTCTCATGAGGTCCATGGGGCTCTGGTGAACAGGTTCCATCCCTCCCGTCCTGAGGACGTGAACTTGTGGACCGTGCACACCTGCACTGTGAGCCAGGCACCTGGCTGAAGCTTTCCTGGGGTGGGACTGCATCAGAGGCTGAGGGTAGCCAAGCAACCCGGGTCTCTCTGTTGGCGACTAACATGTGACTTTGTAAAATGTTCTACTTCTAGGAATTCTGAAAAGGACAACACAAAGAAAGGAACTTCTGAGACAAAGTTAAAAAACGAAAATGAAAACTATGCATTCAGTTCAGATGAACTAAGGACCACACGTGAGTAGCTGGTGGGGCAGGAGAGAGGCAGCCAGGAGACCGTGCTGACACAGAGCCGGCCGGCCGGACGCCACTCCTGGGGAGGACAGCAGCCACAGTGGTAGCGAGTTCTTGGATAATGTTTAGAAGGAGAAAGTCTAGAATCAGGAATATTCTAGGACTAGGTTATTAGCAAAATCCACCTGTTTATCTAAAACTCGTCTTGTGGGTTCTTTCCCCAGGATTTTTCTATAAAGCCTTCTGCTTTAAAAAGTGTGGGGAGGCATTTTAATCCTTTGCAGGAAGTTTCCTCCAACCCTACCAGACCCAGCCACACTGACACTTGACAAATAACCTGTGCCCGTTGGTTGGGCAGGGTGTTGGAGAACGCGGGAGACCCCCTCCACTTCTGAAGCATCTTTCTGATTATCTCATTTTCACAGAGGCTAATGGGTGGCAGAATCTTTGAAGGCTGCCTCCGGACAGTAGGATTTGTAAGGCTGATGATAAGGAAAGTCAGAACAAATCCCTCCCCAGCAGTCTTCGAGGAAGACCCAGCAGAACAAATCCCACGGGAAGACTTTCAGCCAATCAACCCTTGATGAGGATTTTTATTTTTTTTTCCTACAATTGGAACTCTATCTTCAGAAACCCCCATTCCAAATACTAGGCTTCAGATCTTAAATAATTCTACAAAGCACAAATAGCTTCCATTTATAGTGTAACCACAACTTCCTGCAGTTTTTTTGTGAATGTTTATTCATTAGTACTTTGAGCAATTAATCAAGCATCTTGACCAAATCTTGGCTCAAATCTAAACCTCTGTTTCTTTCCCCCCATTTGCCCTGTGTATATTTTTCTTGGTCAGCTATTCATCTTGTCTCTAGATGAGGCTATTATGTCAAGAAAGGAATTGATTTTAAGTCAGTTTTTAAAATATTTTTATTTTACTAAAAGGATACAGTTCTAAACTTATATAATCTCAAAGGAATTTTTAAAAACAGTATTTATGGTTGTATTAGCTTTCTGTCACTATAACAAAATGCCCGAGATGAAAAGCTTATAAAGAGGAAAGGTTTTAATTTTGTTCACAATTTCAGAAGCTTCAGTCTACAATGGATTTGTCCTATCACTTTGGTGAAGCAGCACATTTTGGAGGGGAGCACATGACAGAGTAGAGCTCCTCATCTCATGGCAGCCAGGAAGCAAGAGAGACAGAAAGGGGCCAGGGTTTCAATATCCCCTTCAAGGACCCATCTCTAATGATGTCTCTTCCTTCCAAGGGCCCCGTCTCTTAATGGTTCTCCCACCTCCCCATAGAGCCATGCTGAGGACCAGGCCTTTAACACACAGGCCATCAGGGCACACCCAGACTGAAACTGTAGCGATGGCTAGGGTTATTTGGTTCTGGGGCTCTACATAGGAGCAAGCACATCTCCTTATGCATCACAGCCTTCAGTGCATGTAACTCGGTTTATTTTTTAATCACCAAACACACTGAACTCATTCTTCTACTGCAGAGACGGCGCCTCTCCCTCCCAAGTCCAAGGAAGCCAGCGCCCAGAGACAGCCGAGCAGCAGTCCTCCTCCCCAGGTGATGCGGACGTTTCTTTCTCTATTACCCTGTAGTGTGAGATTCTAAAATGGAGCCTGTTGAACATTCACGCTGGAGGGAATGGGGGGCGACCTTGAGTATCACCTGTCCCTCCAGCAGTGACTCCAACACCAAAGCTGACATGTGCAGTTGTCCATGAGCCTGTTTTGAGAGAAGGTGACTTGGCTGGGGGACGTACCAGCAGGGCCAGCAAAATCACAAATGCGCACAGCTTGCCATGTGTTCTCGTCGAGCCACGTTCTCCAGGACTTAAGTCAGCCCTGCTGACCTGATTACCTGGCCCCACAGGAGGCACATCTGTACTTGGACCAAGGGTACTTGGCTCATGGAAGGATGCTGGGTGCTAGGTGCTGGGTGCTGGGTACAAGACATAGAAAAAGTGTTTGTGCATGAGAGATCTGTGACAGGAGCTGGGGAGCTGGGGAGGCCCTGGTGGGACTAGGGTTGAGGGGCGAGCAGAGGGGCTGACCCTCGAGCTGCTCTTACTGAGAGGAGGGATGTTGCTGGCAGAGTGGGTTTTGGGGGGAAAGAGCAGACATTTGGAGCTTGCAGATTCTGAGGTCTCACTTGGATGTGCACGTGAACCCGTTGGGTGTGCAGCTGAATTCATAAGCGTGGCTTCCAGGGCGCGTCACACGCTGAGGCTACTGTTGGATGTTGAACACAGCTGGGATGGCATCCTCGGGACGGGCCAGCTGGGACCCGGGGAGCACAGCGTGCTACCTCCGATGGAGAGTCCTTGGCACTTGTTATTCACATGAATGAACTAGAACTAATATGCGGAAAATGAGATTTATTTCTAAAATCACGTTGGGCAAAACCAATGTAACCGGCGCCCTTCACTGACCTGGACAAATGCTACCTCAGCTGAGGAGTGTCTGGAGCGTTCCTCGTGGGGCCCAGGGCGCACGGTGTTCTCCCCTGCAGCTCTCGGGAGATCAACCCCACGGCTGGGCTGCAGACGGTGCACTGCACTGGGCGGTCCTGGTTTGTTCTGCAGCGGAGGGTTCGTTAGCCTGCAGGGATGGCACCCGCGTGGGCCCTGGCAGAGGATCACTCTTTTCTGCGTAGCTCTTTATTGGATTGCCAGGCAGCCAGGCTGTAATTTTCCTCCTGCAGTCAGGATTCAGCTCCCCACATCCATCCTGCCGGGGACCTCGCCTTTCAGGCCCCTGGGGAGGAAGGGAGTGCTGACGGATGCTCCTGTGTATCAGGAGGACTTCAGCCATGTCATTAGTGGTGACCCAGGTGGCCATGCAGGAAGACATATGAGGGGACCGTGGCACCAAAGAAGCTGGGCCTAGTGACAGACCGCTAGTTCCCGGCACCAGCTCTAGCGATGTCCTTGGCTGTGTGGCAGGAAAATAGAGAGGTCAGTTCTTTCCATCAAGGTCCATCTCCTTGGCACATGTATCTGCTGATGCATTTAATCTGAGAGAAGACTCCGGAAGGGCTACACACAGGTTTCCTCTGGAAGCTCCAATCTGCCGATGAAGAGGTGCAGTGAGGGAGTAATCGTCGGCTCTGAGGGATGCTCTGGGTGGAGTCCCCAGGGCAGGGTGCAGTGGCTGTGAAGGCGTACGCCTTGCTGAGGGGCTCCACCACCCAGAGCCAGGCACAGACATTCCAAGAGCACGTTTCAGCAGCCATTATTTCCACAGCTGCCTGTGGCCACCTTCTGTCAAGTGCGTCTGCACTGCCAGGCCCGGTGCTTGGGAGGAGATCAGGATTGGGTTGCACCAGACAATTCTCCTCTAAAGGCAGGTGGTGTAAACAGGGAAAGGGGAACTCCGGATGAGTCTGGAAGCAGCAATGGAGAGTGATGTTTCAGAGTTCCGAGTGGATGTTTCTGCAAGCTTGAAGTGCTGTCTTGAGAATACACAGGGAGAAAAATTTAAGAGGTTTCTGCTACTGAAACATGCAACCAGCTAAATAATTAACTGGTGGAAAAAGAGCAGCAGTCGTGGAGGGGCTGTGCCCGTGGCGGGGGGTGGGTGGTAACTGCCCTTGGGTTTCCCAGGTGTGCACAAGGCTTCGGGGAGCCCAGCACCTCAGCAGAGGGCATCGTGGTCCTTAGGAAACAAGTCACAACCCCAGAGAGAGGGACCGTCTTCTCTGGGCTAGAAACTGGGAAGGTGTTTTAAAGAGCTAAGTCACACTTACAGGAGGAGAGAGCGTGCTGATGCATACTGGAGGGACCGGAACTGGAAGCACATAGTTCCCTTCTTGGTCCAAAGAAGACACAGTCTTCAGTGTTGTCCACAGGGTCACTTGGGAGCTGCCACTTGACGGAGCCATAGCTTACAGCCACAGGTCAAGGTGGCCCTGAGCACAGAGGCCCCTGTAAGAGCTTCCAGTTGCAGGGCCTGGCCTGTGTGGCTGCGTTCTTGCTGTGGAGGTGACCTCAGAGCTCTTTAATCCACTGTAGACAGCACAGTCCATGCCCTCTTCCCCAGGCCCTCCCCCATTCTGCAGCTAGCCATCTTTCTGTGGGCCAGGATGGGCAGCCAGGAGAGTCCAGAGCCTTTCTCGATTGTCCTTTCAGTCTCCTCTCTGCCCTCCTCAGGGTGACTCCAATTTGTCACAGAGCTCCCGTGCCGCTGAGCGTTTCTGTGGGTGCCTCTCAGGCCCCTGCTGGCACCCAGCAGCCTCCTGCCCCAGTGCAGGGTTGTGGACTGCAGATTGCACTACTTTGCAGAAACCCTCACTAAGCCTGGGGCCTGAACAGCTGTAGACCTCCAGCTGTGACCTGGCTGCGAGAGCCTGCAGCCTCAGTTCTTCCTAATGGAAGCTGCTGGGGAGCTCACTGGGCCAGATAAGTGTCCCGTCCATGGAGAGACGCGTGCCCACCAGCGCTGGGTGGAGCCGCCTGCTCTGCTCTAGGAGGCCTGGGGCAGGATGAGCCTGGCTTTGTAAGCAGCATCAGCTGCCCAGCAACGAGCTCCCTCTCTGTTCAGGCCGGTGCCTTCCTCTGCACACCTGGGTGATCCGTGGACCTGGGATTTTCAGGTGTTAACTGAGGTTTGATTGTGGTCCACCCTATCTAGAACAGCTCTGTACTGTCACATCAGGGCTCTATGAGGAGCATGTGTGCAGGGACTGTCACTTCACTGTGAGTCACAAGCTGTTGCGACAAGCAGCATCACTAGGACCCACCTTAAAAGTGACATTAAGGTTGGGGTCACTGACCATGTTAAATGACTCTGTGTCACATTGCTGCTTCACTCCCCTGGGGTCAGGCAGGGACATTGCAGCTTTCTTCAAAAACCCCCTATTTATATATTTATTTTTGAGAACCCCCTATTTAAATCAGGAGCAGCCTGAGTGCCGAGGTCACCCACAGGACTCATCAATGAGACCTTGGGGAAGCTCAAACTCTTGGTCCCCACCTCTGGGCCTCCTGGTTCAGAAGGCTGGGGAGGCACCTGGGCACCTCTGCTGTCTAGAACAGCCTGGTGTGGCTCCTACCAGCTGAGGGTGACCCTACCTGGTTACCTTACAGCAACATGGGAAGAGGGTGGCTGGAAGGGAAGAGCGGCCAGTCGCCAAACACCAGCTCACCCCCTTTGTAACTTGGCCCTGCCTGTCGGGGGCTCCATCCTGACCGTTGGCTCACTGTCCCAAGGTGTTAACTGCACAGGGGAGGGTTTATTCTGGACCTCTCCCAGGGGTTGACAGTGCTTGTACTCTTGTCCTCTCTGCCAAGAGTCATGTGGACGCCCCTGCAACTAGAAGAGGGTCTAGACACTGGGTCCGTGAGTTTGGAGTCCCCAGCTCAGGGCTGCACACAGCAGGACAAGAAGCAGGTGGTGTTGCTGGGGACCCGTGACCCTTTGTCATGGACCTCAGGCCCAATTTCAGTTACAGCCTATACTCAGCTAACTAAAAATGTTGCTATTTTGGAAGGGGTAGGCACCAGCATCCTGTAACTCTTGCCCATGGCTTTGGGTCGAGATCCACAATGCCTGAAGCTCAAGCCACCATGGAGAAGAGCAGGACGAGCTATAGCAAGGTCCCTGTCTTGTCAGACCTACAGCATCTCCTGATGCTTTCAATGTGGCCGTCCCTGGAAAACTGTAGACGTGCAGGGCTTGTCTCAGGGACAGCATTGGAAGTGACAGGCTGTGGCTGGACATTTGCCCCACAGAAGTCAGCCACGGTGGCCCGAAGCCACATGGGCAGGGTAGCTGGTGTAGTTCAGGGCCACAGACAATGCTGGGTGAGGACAGTGGGACAAGGCACAGGTTCCCAGGGTGCCTGGCCCCCAGGCTTCCTAAACCTCCCTTCCTGCTACCCCTGTTCCCTTCCGGGTCTGCCCTGAATGTAGGAAGTTTTATTTGAGGGATGGGCTGAACTTATTCCTGCCATGATCAGGTAGAAACCAGGGACATGTTTTCCTGGATCCTCCCAAAGATTGCTTGGTACACAGGGGTGTGTATGTGTGCATGTGTGCACGTGCTCCCTGACACCTCTCCATCCCTGTAGTGTGTGGTGCTCTGCCCATGTGGGTGTCCTGGCACCTCTCCATCCCTGTAGCATATGGCTTGGCACCATCTCAATACAGCAGAGGCATTTGGGGAATTTATTAAAATGCAAATTCTTGGGGCTCTTGCAGACTTTGTGGACATTTTCTCTGGACGACATTTTTAATCATGTTCTGGCATTTTAAATCATGTTCCCCCCGGGATCTACTTTGAGGAAAATATTTTCATAGACATGGGTAGCATCATTTCTAAGGGAGAGGACTCTCTAAATTCTTGGGAGATGCTTTCGGGGGTGCAGAGAACAAGACCAAGTGCAAGGTCATGACACTGAAATGCTTCTGCTTCCACAAGTCTGTGCCCTTGTTAAACCTTCTGTGGATCCTGAAGCACACTGTACCCAATGTGGGTAAAAACAATGGGGTTTTAGGCTATAGAGACCTCAGGCCATGCATTAAATTCTAGGAAGGGTCAGAAGGGAAATAGAGATTGATTTCAAAACAGATACCAAACCATGACATGGCTTCATGACTGCTTCTGGTCTGGTGGAATCCACCGTTGGGAGGTCCAGACCCGACCAACACTCTTCTCTAGACAGGACTTTCTGCTGGTGAAGTGGAGTGGCCCATGTCACTGTGGCTGAAATGTGTTAGGACAAAGATGGTGAATAAATTTGAAATTTTTAATAAAACTTGCTGTTAACAGGAAAGGCAAGTTCTCTTCATTTTGACATGAAACCATGGGGTGTGAAAATGTTTTGCATCTTGATGAGGTTTTAAAACAGGTGCCCATCTTCTCCTCTCCCCTTTCTCTGCCTCCATTCCTGATCTGTTAATTCTTCCGGTTATTTTAGATGTTTTTTCTCTTTCTCTGTCATTTTGGAGGGTGACATGTAATTGTCTTAAAGCTTAGATCAAGCCTTCCCTTCAATCCCTCCTCCTGTTGAGATAAATAAATAAACTGGTGATACATTTATTTTTTAATTAATTTTTAAAATTTATATATGACAATGGAATGCATTACAATTCTTATTACACATATAGAGCACAATTTTTCATATATCTGGTTGTATACAAAGTATATTCACACACCAATTCGTGTCTTCATACATGTACTTTGGATGATGATGTCTATCACATTCTACCATCCTTGCTAATCCCCTGCCCCCTCCCTTCCCCTCCCACCCCTCTGCCCTATCTAGAGTTATCTATTCTTCCTATGCTCTCTCTCCCTACCCCACTATGAATCAGCCTCCTTATATCAGAGAAAACATTCAGCATTTGTTTTTTGGGGATTGGCTAACTTCACTTAGCATTATCTTCTCTAACTCCATCCATTTACCTGCAAATGCCATGATTTTATTCCCTTTTATTGCTGAGTAATAGTCCATTGTGTGTATAAGCTACATTTTTTTTGTATCCATTCATCTATTGAAGGGCATCTAGGTTGGTTCCACAGTTTAGGTATTGTGAATTGTGCTGCTATAAACATTGATGTGGCTGTGTCCCTGTAGTATGCTGTTTTTAAGTCCTTTGGGTATAGTCCGAGGAGTGGGATGGCTGGTTCAAATGGTGGTTCTATTCCAAGTTTTCTAAGGAATCTCCATACTGCTTTCCATATTGTCTGCACCAATTTGCAGTCCCACCAGCAATGTGTGAGTGTGCCTTTTTCCCCCACATCCTTGCCAACACTTACTGTTGTTTGTCTTCATAATAGCTGCCATTCTGACTGGAGTGAGATGATATCTTAGAGTGGTTTTGATTTGCATTTCTCTAATTGCTAGTGATGATGAACATCTTTTCATATATTTGTTGATTGGTTGTATACCCTCTTCTGAGAAGTCTCTACATTTAGAAAACAGCAACACATCTATGCAGCCAGCAGTGGAGACAAAGACATCTCAGCGTGTTCTCGCCATCCTGAGAGCTCTGCTGAAGTAGTCCCGTCCGTTCCCAGGTTCCTCCTGCTGTTGGGGGTCCATGCATTAAAGCCAGGAGCCAGAGTGGCTGCAGGCTCAGGACTCACTCACATCCCAATGCAGCCTGAATAATTTATCCTGCCCAGCTACATTATTTAAGATGTTAAATGCAGCTACCGAGCCTTGGAATCTGAGCCAGCATCCCCCGGCTGGCAGGGGAAACACGTGGCAGTGCATTTTTATAGGGCGATCCTACCAGGCACAGGCCCCCACAGGCAGGATTCCACCATTTGTTTGTGAATGTTTCTGAATATGAATAGCAAAGAGGGGGCTCCTTCCTGATAGGAGCCAGTGACACCCACTGCCAAGGGAGACAGATGGGGGAACCTATTTAGAGTCAGTTCAATCTTGTCCCCTCTCTTTTAGAAGGGATGTATGTTATTTGAAGAAGTTTAGAAATATTTTATGTGTTCATAAAAAAGCCATCTGGTAAAGCAGGAACTTCCATAGGAAAATTGAAAAATAAAACAAACCAGGCAATCTTTGCATTTGTAATTTACCTTCAACTGAATGAATCTTAGATTTTGGGAACTGGATTGCTCTTGGACCCTGGACTTGGAAACTCCCTAGAGCGTGTGTTGTGGAGAATAACGGAGTCAAGGAAGAGCACGTTTCCACACCGTGTTCCCCTCTGCAGCCTAATGCCATCTCCTCGGGGAGCGGCGGTTCCTTCTCAAGGTTCCATTCACAGTGAACTCAACTGATTAAATCCATTCTTTTTCCTCTGTTGCCAGGAACCCAGAAAACAACAGCCAGGCCCAGCAAGCCGTCCACAGGTTTCTTTTAATATTGCCAGTCCTCAGAAGGTCAGGAGCGCGACTTTAGTATAGTGAAGGTTTCTCTCGGGACCTGTTTTGTGCCTGCTGACAAGTGACATCACCGGGCCTCCATCCGTCTCCGTAGCTCTGCCAGCATCACCTGGCCCCTTGGACAGTTGGAGCGGGTATCTGGTGGCAGGAGCAGTCTGTTTTCCCAGATGCCATGGAGAATGTGGATTCTGAAATGTTTCATGGTTTTATCGAATGCCTTAAAGTTTCCAAGCAAAACCCTCAATGTATCCTGTTAATATTTATTGTCACTCCTACTTGCTCGTCTAATAAATGGCACTTGACACTATTCTACCACAACATTTTTTTTTGTTTTGTTTATCATATAATTTTTAATAAGATCTAAAGATTACAATAATACATTATTTATAATTCAGAAGGTACCACAACTTTTAAAATATTTTTATTGCCCATAAGATGGTATTTATGTGTGTTTAGCAGGGAATTATTACAAATGATCAGAGAAGTAAGAAGAGAATGATCAGGATCACTCAGAACTCTGAATCCACTGGCACATCGGAGCTCAATAGGTTTGAAAGTCTCTCGGGGTTGAATGTTACAAGACCTGGGTCCTGTCTGTCTGCTCCCTGAAGACTGCTCCCACTCCTCCAGTGAGTCACATGTGGATTCTGCCTGTTGGGGGCAAAGCTCACACATGCAACCATCACGGAAATGATTACGTGTTCTTAAATAAACGAAAAAGAAAATACCAATATCTCCTATTGCCTTTCTTGATGCTTTACTATTTGGGTGCTGTTTTAAAGAGTCACATACTTAGAAATTAAGCTTTTCCAAGAAGGAACACAGGGACTTTTGGAAAGAGTTCTCATCTTCGTGCTTGCCTTTTGCTTCTGTGTCTCTGTCCCACTCAAAGTCAACGGGAATGTTGTGACTAGAAATGGAGGGCCTGCCTTTCCCAGAGGTCCCTGTCCCTCCAGGGTGTTCAGTGAATGTCACCACCCGCTCGGCCTCTTCAGATGAAACCTAGAGGCAGGACTACTATTTTCCTGAGCTCTGAACTGGCCGGTACAGATTTCCACGCCAGTTGGCAATTAACCACTGCTCGCAGGCTCCCATACCCCCAAATGTTAGTGCTAAAGTAGGACTTGACTTCTTAAGTACGTCATGATTTTAGCAAGTTCCTCAAATTTACTAAAAGATGCAAATTCATCATGATGAGGTTTCTCATCACTCAACACTCTGCTTGTTAATCCAGTAATTGGCTGACAAGTATGACACCCCCATGATTTATTAAGTATTTTTATGATCTTAACTCACATTCAGCTCCTACTCTGGACCTTCTTCCATGAGCCAACGATTAGCCCAAGAACTATTTCCTAGCACTATGGCAGGTTTGTGTTCTGATTGGCTGTTGCTTGTATAGGGTTCATTTTGATTGGCTGGTGTCCATATAGGCTCCATTATGATTGGCTGGTGTCCATACAGGCTCCATTCTGATTGATCAGTGCCTGTACAGTATCTATGCTGATTGGGTGGTGTTAGTACCTTACTAATTGTCAGATATCTCTTTTAAATATTACCATAGCTTAGAGGATTCTGGAAAAACGTCATCTCTTCCAATACTGTCCCAATGTGGGAGAATTGGCTGCCTATTTTTTAAAACTTTTTTTTGGTATACATTATAATTACACATAATAGTGGAATTTGTTACATATTTGCACATGCACACAATGTGTCTATTTTTTTGAGAGTAGAACTAGAATGCAAACTCTCAAATATCCTTGAATATTGCTCTAGCATGTTCCTAAGAACCCTTTCTATGGAAAAACTTCTGATTTAATTGCTTAAAAATGGTGCTCCTGTGAATTATACTGATTTATTTACTCCTTGCTGGTGTGGTTGGGTCTCTCCCTATCATTCTTGAATGGGTTCAGGAGAAGAGAAAGACAAAAAGGTCCTGAGACCCTTTCTGCAGAGCTAGTGAGTGAACTTGGTATTCATCACCTAATAGTTACCTTCCCTAAGCCATCCTAGGATCCAGACCCAGAGACAAAACAAGTCCCCTGTGCTTTGTGGCTTTTGAAGCTTCCGCAGCACCTGCTACACACAGTGTTCTGTAACTAGGACATCAACAGGTCAGTACTGAGAAAGGCAATATCTTGACCATAGTGAGCATCTCCCACCAGCCTGCGAATCACATTTCTGTGGCTGTTTTAGGAATCAGAGAGGTTGTGCCCAAGAATACAATCGAACTTCAGGCTCTGACCTCAGGAGGACGATGCCAAGTGGTTTGTGTGGCCATTGTTCCAACGTTGAGCTTGTTTGTTGACTTGTTCTCATAGTATCTTCCAGTTTCTCAGACTGTGGGAGCTGTGTTAGTATCACTGCTCTGTCTTGAAGATGTTTTGTTTCCCTGAAATCATGCAGGAGCTTAATCCCCAGGTTCCTATATTAAAAGTATAAAGAGGGTGAAAACTTCATTCCTACGTAATGTCTAGAGGTAAGGCCTTTGTGTTGTAATTAGATCAGATGAGGTCATTAGAACAGAGTCTCCATGATTGAATCTTGGTGGCTAAGAAGAGGGAAATAGTCCACACAGACACAGAGAAACACATGTACTCCCTCCGTGACGTGATGCAGCCAAGGGCGACCTTGGCCAGAGATTGTGCCATGCTGTTTGGATTTCTATCCTCCCAAACTGTGAGCAAATAAACCTGTTTTCTTTATAAAATAACTAGCTACATGTACTTTATTAAAACATCAACAATAATAAAACAACAAAAACCAGATTAGTACAGTCCCAAGAGTGGAGTTTCTCAAAGGAGTCCCCTGGCTAGTTTTTATTTCACAAGAGATAGATATATTATTTGAATAGAACTCTCTAAAGCCATATCAAAGCCACAAGGGACTATTTGAGTTTAAATTATTTAGACCAAATAAAATATAAGATTCATTTTCTTAGTTGCATTAGCCATGTTTCAAGTGCTCAATAACCACATGTGGCCAGGGGGCACTGGGTGAACAGTGGATATGATAGGTTTCTAGTGTTTCTGAGAGTTCTGCTACAGTTCTGACCTGGAGACAGCTCCTTGGGAGTGACCTTGATGTGTCAAGGACGGCTCAGCTACACAAACACACAATCTGTGTTTTCTTCAGCATTATGACGGCGCTCGCCAGTTTCTATTTAGGAATCCTGCAAACCCCAGGGCAGCTCTCAACTGAAATTGGTGTTCTGCTGATGTGGTAAAATCATCTCTCACTTTGCAAAACTGAGAGCTGGGGCAGGCTCAGGGGGCTGAGGTGACTCAGTCACAGCAGAACGTTATGGTCAAGGTTGTTTCTCAGAAAGTTTGATGAGGGCCACTCCTAATAAATGGCTGATGAGGCTAAACATTTATTTAAATATCCCTCAAAGCTAGTCATAAATTCTAGCCAGGGAAGCCACCTCATCTGTCCTCCTGGCTAGTAGGCCAGATTCCCAATCTTTCCCACAAGTGAGGATCGTCTATGGTTGATTTAGAGTAGAACTCAAGTCCATGTCAATATGCTGGAGGTAATTGGGAAGCTTGGAGGGAAGTCCTGCCCCTGGGGCCTCCTGGCCTTGGAACGCTGTCATGGGCAGTGTGTGGTTTAGGTTCGAGGTGTCCCCTGAAAGCCCCTGTGTTAACGCAGGAATGTTCAGAGGTGAAGCGACTGGACTGTGAGGGCTGTGACCCAGTCAGTCCACACTAGTTTGAATGGACTGACCGGGTGGTAGCTGTAGGCAGTGGGTGTGGAGGGGCTGGTTGCTGGGGATGCCCTGGAGGGGTGCATCTCCCTGTGACCCCTTCCCCCACTCTGCTCCCTGACCTCCATGAGGGGAGCAGCACTCTGCTGTCACGCCCTTCCTCCACGATGTTCCCTCATCTCAGACCAGAGCAAAGGAGCTGGCTCACTGTGGACCAGACCTCTCGCACCATGAGCCCAAATACCCAGTCCCTCTTCTAAGCTGTCCTTTTTGGGTATTTTGGTCACAGCAAGGGAAAGTGGGCTAATGCAGGCAGGAAGCCCGGCTGCATGTTTCTAGGGATTGGATGGCATAAAAGGTGTGTGGTGGTCGTGGGGCACAGGGACATGCTCCAGTTTAAATGCCTGTGATATCTTGGGGACTGAGTCCATCCTGTGCAAAGATGGAGAGCATGCGCTCCGTGACCCAGGTGAGAACTTGGAGAACCCCAAGTTGGGAAGAAGATGAGAACAAGTTGGTGAGCAAGGGTCCAGGGAAGCAAGGCCCAGAGAAGCAAGGCCCAGGTGGGCAAGGACCCAGGTGAGCAAGGACCCAGGTGGGCAAGGGCCCAGGTAAGCAAGGGTCCAGGGAAGCAAGGCCCGGAGAAGCAAGGCCCAGGTGGGCAAGGTCCCAGGTGAGCAAGGACCCAGGTGGGCAAGGGCCCAGGTGAGCAAGGACCCAGGTGGGCAAGGACCCAGGTGGGCAAGGTCCCAGGTGGGCAAGGGCCCAGGTGGGCAAGGGCCCAGGTGGGCAAGGGCCCAGGTAAGCAAGGACCCAGGTGGGCAAGGGCCAAGGTGGGCAAGGGCCCAGGTGGGCAAGGGCCCAGGTGGGCAAGGACCCAGGTGGGCAAGGGCCCAGGTGGGCAAGGACCCAGGTGAGCAAGGACCCAGGTAATCAAAAGCTCAGCGAAGCAAGGACCCAGGAAGTAGAGTCCAGTTAAGTAAAGACCCAGGTAAGCAAGGTCCCGGTAAGCAAGGACCCAGGTAAGCAAGGTCCCGTTAAGCAAGGAGCCAGCTGGCAGGGCCCAGGACAGGGTGCACTGTGAGGACAGTCGTGGCAGGTGCTGATGCACAACACTGCAGAGTATCGTAGGTGGAAAAGCTGTTGCCACCCTCAGGCTGACAGGGCGGGCAGAGGTTGTCCGACCCCTATGGAGCAGACTCCCAGCCATTGCTGTGACCCTGAGCAGGGACACAGCCAAGTCTTGGAGACCTCGCAGGGAGGGAGCCAGAGTGTGTGGGCTCCAGCCTCCCAGTCTCTCCTCTCAGTCTCCGGCTGGTGCCTCCCGCTGACCAGACCTGACCAGAAGCCAGGCGCCCCCA